GATGGAGGTGAGGCCAAAGATGGTTATGGTGGTGGTGATGATGACGATGGTGGTGGTAAAGCTGAAGATGATGATAGTGATGGTGGTGGTGATGACGATAATGGTGAAGGTGGTGATGATGCTAACAATAAGGACTACATTTCTAACGGCAGTAACAATGATGTTATGACATAAGATAAAAAGGAATACATAGAACGAGCTTTAATATAACAATACAGAGATTTTTGCATCACATGAAATGGAGTGCAGATAAAATGGAGAAAGAGCAGAAGGGATACATCAGTGGAATAAGGATCATACAAGGGTGAGAATGAGAAATGGGAAGAAGGAAAGAGTGAGGGAGAGTGAGAAATTAAGCAAAGATGAAAAAGGGAGTGAGATCTGCTAGCAAGTGACTCATAGATTAGAAAACGACAAAGCTTTTCCAAAAATCCAAACGAACAGCTATGTACTGCAAAACTTACCATGGATCACTTAAGCCAGTTCTTAAGGCTAAAAAGACATTTCTGGCCACTGACATTGCCTGTCCTGGCTTCCCCTCTCCCTCGTTCCCCAGCTCCCCTGGCTTAAAACCAAAATTTCGAATTCCCCGTCATCTAAATGACCGAAAAAAATCTTAAAACCCCGATGCTCTCTCCTCTCTCGCCCATCCATCACTAATAACACTTCGATATCTCCCTTTTCACTAGCTTTTTAATCTTCTTCGAATACTTGACGCAGCACATACCTTCACTCTTAAGTCAGGCTAGGCTTGGAGTGACCTTTGGGATGAAATTACGTCATTATTGCTGCCAAAATTGAGGATCGGGACGCGACTCAGGTTCTGCATCAGCTGATCCGCGTCTGTCAGCCATGTTATGATTCTCAAGTGTGGGATTACTTTTAATATTTTCAAAAAGTAAAATATTAACAGCTTTTATATTGTATATTTGTATATCTTGTAAAATTACAATGCCAAACATATTTATCTTTTATACAGAATTTATTCAAATATTTATTTTAGAAAGAGTTTT